AAACAAAAAAATATATATAGTAGGAATCACTCTGCACTGAGTCAATTCAAATCAACATGTTGAAAAGTGCATTTAAGAGGTTCCCACCTTTGTGTTGGGCCGACGCGTCAGCCCATGGTTTCCTCTTGGAGAGTTTTGTCAAATTTTTAATAAATAACTAAATAAATCAATTTAAAATTGACAATTATTGGTTATCAACTCAATTAGGCAGAATATAAGAGTTTGCTTCCTTTATCTTGAAATCTACAACCGGATTCACTATTTGATGTAGTAAGAACTAACAATCTTTCAGAACCTCTGGTGTAGTGATTTATGACCCCTAACCAAAAAAAGTAAAAGCATGTGAAAGTATGATGACACTTGTGACGCAATTATATTCCACATTTCAACCAATCAAATGTTTAGGATCTATGTAATTATGTGGTATAAAATCATTAACAACCCTTTTACAATTTTAAGTGCTTTTACTACTCCTGTGAGCTTTAAGCCTGGTTCTCGTGAGAGCCCTAGTATCCGGATCGGGAGCTAACCGTAAGTGCAAGCCGTTAGCACCCGCATGAGAACGCCCGATCACTAACCGTTAGCAGTATCAGGATACCCCTAACGGTTAGCAAGCGCTATCGGTTAGCAAGTTGAGCGCATTTTTATCATCAACCAATCACACATACGCATTTACAATTTCCAGTTTCTTATTGGCCAGTGATTCGATCATCATATTAACTTACAATTTTTCCGAAAAGTCCGGTGCCAGCAGCAAAGTCTAGAATGCGTGAACTCTTGTTGGGTATTAGTGCACAGATGCCACTAATTGTCAATCTATGCCCATCATCTTGAAACGATCCAACGATCTAGTTAAATAAACAAATAAAACATTTCATTCCATTACATTTCATATATTTTGTCTTGACAGATTAAATACAATTTTGAAAAATAGGCTTCAAGTAAAAGCATAACCACCATGATTTGGAAAAAGGCTTTACTGCAAAATCAACGGTTTGAAAAAAATGAGCAAAACGCTTTTGGTTTTAGCTAAAGTAAAGTACTAGTAATCTTCAATTCTTAAAAAGTAAACTATTAAAACAATTTTCATGTATGTTTCACTGATTTTTTTTTTCTTTTATTTCAATGGGGGAGGAGTGAAAATGCAGATAATGCCTTTTATCGGTGTATTTGTGCCTATAGATAGGAATTAATATTGACACTTGGGCATTATCTGCAATAATGTTTAAAAGTGTTTATAAATTTTAAATTAGTTAATGGTTATTGTAAATGTATGTCACTGTAATCTAAAATTAAAAAATGTTCCATAAATATATTTATTCTAGATTTCATGTAAAAGTGGAGGTGTATCTCTTTCTCTTTTAAATGTAAGTTTCAAAGTTCATATGGAAATTAAAAGACTGCATTACAAAATACAGCATTAAATGGTCCATTGTCGACAGAGCTGCATTTTATTCAACTAAAACAAAACGGTGTAACTTATGCCTTACAGAAAAGTTACACATCATCAACAGCTTTCAACATGCAGACACAGCACTAAATTCCTACTTAAAAACACATAACACCCTATTTGCATACCCTATATATATATATAAGATGTGTATAAGAGACAGGTGTATGTGTGTGAGATATTTATGTTTGAACCAAGAGATACGCGCCAATAATGCGCGATTTCGACGAAACGCAATGTGAGAGCGATTTAAATAAGTTGAAACAGAGATTACCCATCATTGAGAACGGAGCTTACTAAAATAATAAAACTACAGCAGCTTAATATAGAGGTCCTCATCCAATTAAAGACCTCTTTCGGGACGGGGTTTTCATAGTATTTAGAAGGTTTGATCTCTTATGAGAATAACAAAGATGATTAAGACATTTGGTAATTTCGGATAATAGAAAAGTAATCTTTAATTGGAGGTGGTTCTTGATTTGAGGGGTCTTACCATTGTCAATGCTCAGTCCTTTGTCTTCTACGAATTCAACCATAAGCTTTGTATAGATGTTCTCATTTTTAGCTTGTTCAATTGAATACATATATAAAACAGAAAATAATGATGCGGAAACGTTGGTATTCAGGAAATGAATATATTCCATCTTGTCCTCAAGACTTCATCAGCGTAATTGATTACACAAATTAGAAAATACCAGATCAAAAAATACAATAAACAGTCGGCGTAAAATAGAGGAAGGTGATTAAATGAGATAAACAATAATGGAGACACAGGGATAATGATACAGTATATGTTGGGATTAAGGTAGAGCTTAAAGTGTAAAAAACAAGTACTGTACTGTGATATCGAGTAGTGTAAGCGATAGCCCATGATACTAATAAGTATAATGGCAATAAAAAATATTGGATAATATATAAACCTAATGTAAATACATATATATGATTATAGAATAATAATAATAATAATAATAATAATATGCCATTAACAATTATAAGCAAAAAAAAAGTAAACTAGGTATAGGCCTAGATACAAATGTAATGCAGAAGTCAAGCAGAGAAGTGAAAATAAAAAAATATAACATTATAAAAGTAATATACAAATATTAACTGCTCATGAGGGGAATGGTGAAATCTATTGCCCCATGTGATGTGGAGACGTAGCCTACATATTCCCGAGGGCCGAAGCCCGAGGGAAGATAGGCTACGGTCTCCACATCATCAAGGGGCAATAGATTTAACTGTTCCCCGAAAATACGGCAGTCAGCATTTGTTTTATATGCCTCATACATAAATTCTACGAGGCCTAAAAAAGTACTTACTTCCTAGCCTGTTTGTTATATTAGAGGCATAGGCCTACTACTAGGCCCACTACTACTCGACTAGGCTAGCCTAGGCGATCAAGAGCGTGTCTAGCTCTTCTTTGCTTATTTACTCAATTTCAAAATTTCAACAGCACCCATCGTCTTGCAATATATTTGTCGAATATTGATAAGACATACTCCATTTGTCTTATGGTGCTTTTTGCTATCGGCTTCGTCAAGAAGTAATTCTAGACCTAGGCTACTCCTTCATCTCGAAACGAGCAGCATCTATTGTTTATCGTCTACTCGCTGATCCGTGACGCGGACAGGGGATAATCTCGTCGTAGAGGTCGCAGTCCCCCTTTACCGTCAGCAGCGCAATGTAGTGGGCCCGGAGTTTGCACATCGCGACAGGTAAAAAAAGTACTATTTTTTCAGGGAATAGTACTTTTTGAGTGGAATAGTACTTTCTATTGCCCCGCTTCTTAACCAATCAGAATCTATATTGAATATAACATGGTGAACATAAAATAGTGATAAATGAGGCGGGAATACGGTGATATGAAAAAATCATTCATCATTCCTGATGATGACATAATTAATGTCGAAATATTGGATCCCAACACGATGGCGTGTATTTCAATACTTGGAGTATGTATTATACTTTCTTATCTGAGATTAATCAGTGGACCTTTCGGT